CTGAAATAAGAGTCTCTATGTTAACAAAGTTGCTCAATTGTCGAAGAAAAAATAAATATTTCGAGAGCTTCTGGTTCAATACAGTTTTGCCCACAGAAATATTACTATTAGTCAAGAAAATCATTTTTTGTGTTTTTTCCTTATTAAGTTTCAGTAGGTTTGAATTGAACTACGATTCAGCTTGTCTTTCTGCAAGTTCCATGACTGACAGTTGTTGTCAGAGCACAGGATCGAAGTGTCATCTGCATAAATGACACATGTGTAAGGTAATAATTCATAGGAGAGATCGTTGATATAAATTATGAATGGAAGAGGCCCCAGCACAGACTCTTGAGGAACTCTGAGCTCAATCGGCTGTAGATCAGATATTCTGTTGTTGCCTAGATCAACAAGCTGTTTTCTATTCATTAAATACGATGAAAAAAGTGAAAGTGCTACACCTCTGACTCGATATTCTTCCAGTTTATGTAACAAATTTGAATGAGAAACGCGGTCGAATGCTTTACTCAAATCACAAAGTGTCACAGCACTGTGATGACCCTTTTCAAAACCATCAACTAAATCCCTCACAACCCGAGCTACTGCTTGAACAGTCGAACAGGACTTTTGGAAACCGTATTGGTTAGTGTTCAGAAGATTTTTTCCTTCAAAATAGAGATATAACCTTTTTTTTTAGGATCATCTCGAAAATTTTTTCAAAAATGGGAACGATGGAAATGGGGCGGTAGTTTTCAGTAAGATTTTTATCACCTTTTTTGAAAACTGTAATGACTTTACTGATTTTAAATTTGTCTGGGAAACGTCCTTCGCTAATACAAGAATTGTAAATAAACGTAAGAGGTTCCATCAAATATGTGCATGTTTCCTTTATGATCTTACTATTAAGGTTTGTATTTTGCCCCACTGCGTAATTTCAGCTTCATTATCTTGTGAATCCAGACTTAGATGAAGAAGGATTTTGATACCAAAATATTGGGTCGTTTAAAAGTTTTGTCCGTTTTTATGAGAATAGTTTGAACTGTAACATCTCAGTGGATATTTGTTCACTTCAATCGAAATAAGCGTCAATTGAATCTGTGCTCTTTTGCCAACGAAACACGAGTCGATAAATTCCGCCTGTATAACAATTGCGTACTCGGGATTCGATGAAGTAGACGAAGAACGTTTTCGCCTGGTCCTGATTGGTTATGATTGGCGAAGGTTCTACCGGTAAGAAATTTATCGAAGTGCTTGAAAAAATGGTGAAGGCTGACGAGAGGTCTTGGTAGTATAATGTCGTGTAGACGTGCGTTATTGTGGAACAGGATCGGATCTCTTCTATTGAACTGTGCCGGCTGCTGCTGATCCAATTTTCGGTACATTTAGTCGATTCTCAGAACAGAACATTTATTTCCGTGAAATACTACTTACATGAATACGTACACGTTTATAATAAATACACTGTTTCCATTTATTGCGGTATTTCGGTCTAGAAAGGCGTGAGGAAACTATTACCAATTGATATGATTTCTTTAACCTAGAGGGTACAAGGTATACAGTGTCATCCCCAAAGTATGCACCATTTGGGGAACTTATCTATTAAGGGTTTTTCGACAAAAAGTTATACTTGATAAAAGTTTGTGCATCCCCTAAAACACATGTAATATACGAGGAACCTTCAAATATTTGATTTTGTGACAAAAGTAAAGTACTCTTTGAATTGAAGGGGTTATATTTTTAGGAGTGATTAATTTTTGGGAAAGAAAGTTTTTGGATTTCTACTACTCCATCTTGATACCAAAAAAGATGAGGGAATCTTCCAAAGAAAGGAAGGAAGTAATCAATTTGAAAATAAGTAACTCTATACATGGATGTGTAGATCATGCAAAGAAGTAACTTTCAGACACAAACTGAAAAAAAGTCCTCCTGAAACAGCTACTTTCATATAAACATCGAATTACACGAAAGAAAAAAAATCTTTCGAAACAAATACTTCTAAATGAACACTGAATTATACAGAAGATACTTTTCTATACTCAGTTTGTATTTCAAACATTCGTTGTGGAATAAAAATCAGATATCATTCACATGAGTTCTACTTTAAATGAATGGTAACAAATTGCACTTACATGGAACTTTGTCATCCTCATTGGTATACATCGATGTTTCGCCTTAAGACACTTGCCCCAAGGCTCTTCAATACGAAATTTGATAACATTATAGGAAATACACACAATTCATTCATGAATTACTTTTTTGAATGTCACGGAGTAAGCTTGATCTGCTTATGTTATCGATGACATCGTAATGGCATTCATTCACATATATGATTTAATCCCAGCCAAGAGGAATCTTATTTGAATTGAAGAGGTTATATTTTGAAGAGTGATTAATTATTGGTCAAGAAAGTTTTTGGCTTTCTACTACTACATCTTGATACAAAAAAAGATGAGGGAATCTTCCAAAGAAAGGAAGGAAGTATAAGTAACTCTATACATGGATGTGTAGATCATGCAAAGAAGTAACTGTCAGACACAAACTGAAAGAAAGTCCTCCTGAAACAGCTACTGTCATATGAACATTGAATTACACGAAAGAAAAAAAATCTTTCCTCTTCTTTTTTTGTATCAAAATGGAGTAGTAGAAAGCCAAAATTTTTCTTTGCCATAAAGTACTCCTATTTTAAAAAAATTCAGTTGTTCAGTATTGAAAAATACATCTAGATTTGAAGTCTTGGCCATCTAAGTGGACTTTTATTTTTTTACCAATTTTTAAAAAAAATGGGTAAAAAATAAAACTTCACTTAGACGGCCATGACTTCAAATCTAGATGTATTTTTTAATGCTGAACATCTTTTCTAAATAGCATTTCCCGAGATTTTTCAAAATCAAATATTTGAAGACTCCTCGTATATTACGTGTGTTGTACTGTATTTTGTTGGTACATGTTTTGTTTCAGGGGAAGCACAAACTTTTATCAAGAATAACTTTTTGTCGAAAAACTTTGGGGATGACACTGTATAACAGTGGTAAAAATGAAGAATAAAATGTATCTGCAGTATAGGGTTGGTTCCAATGATAATCATAACATGTAATGAATATGAATACTATCAAAATTGTACATATTTGAAATAATAATTCGGGCCATAATAGATGTACTATTTCAGGTATTTTCTAACTTCACGTTTGATTCTTTTTCAGGAAAGTGATCTGAAGTTGTCAGGAATTTTATTATACACCCTAATGCTTGTGTAAAGTGGCACTTTTCTTGATCTAGCGTACCTGCATGTGTGTAGTATAATATCCTGATTTCTCGTTGGATAGAAATGTACGTTCACAGGTCTCGTCAGTTCGATTCTCCTCTTGTGAATAGGAATCTGCTGTGCTTGTTTGGCCGGTTGCAGAAAGTAATAGTGACCCACCATGTAGCAACCGTGTTTTATTTTGGTGGGTTTTTGATTTCAGTGTTGCCACTTTTGACACACGATGCAGGCAAGATGACTTCAAGGTAGCGTTTTGGGTTTAACCTTGAATGACCTTCATTTTCTCCCCATATTTTTCAACAAGGTGGCTTTGACCTAGAAAGAACTCGAGCCAGTTACACGGCTTTCTTGACGTTTTGAACATACCCGAAACAACGTGGCAAAGGTGACTTCCAAGGATTGTTTTACGTTTGACCTTCAATGACCAACAACTACGTCACACGATCACGTTGGAGTAGTGTTTTTAGTATGACTTCAAACAACCTTGATTCTCAACCTTGAACAACGTTCAACTGGGTGGACGAGGCGGCTTCTGGACTTCTTGCTTTGACTTTGAACGATCTTCAGTAACATCACATTGAGAATCAAAGCGCTGGATGATTGACCATGAACAACCAGCTTGTGGTAAAAAAGGTAGCCAAGTTCTATCAATGTTCGGAATATCACCATTCCACATTCAGTTTGAATAACCCAACATATTCGAATAAATGAGCAAAAGTAGTGTAGCAGAGTAACAGAGAGTATTATGTCAGGAGTATATACAGTCACATAGGTTCCTAGGCAGGTTGATATCTGTGTCCTGGGTCTGCGACTGAAAACACCTGCACAACAATCGGAAGGTGTTTTTGATCCATCTGTGAACCAACAACTATCTGCTCTTAATATTTCCTTCTCCCGGAGGATGTCATTCACATATATTAGAAACAATATTTGGCCCACTATTGATCCTTGAAGAACATCTACCCTGATGTCAAGATAATCTGAATTACAAGTGGTCACTGTTTTCTTAGTTACCCATTGGAAGACTAACATACTAGGGACGTGCGTGCAGATAAGATTTTATCCAATACAGACAAAATCGAAGAATGATTTATTGAGGCAAGTGTTCCAGCAATCCATGAGATTTTTGTATGACTGTAAGAAAGGTCAGAATCCATGTGAAGTCCAAAACACTTAATTTTGAACGTAGTGCTCTAATGAGAGTTTCTCAGTTTGAAGTATTATATTGTCTATGGCCTTCTGCCGGTCTCTGGTCTTCCCAAATATGATCATGCGTGACTTGTTAGAATTCAGTCTCATGCAGTGATTTGTGGTCGTTATTCAATAAGTGTTCTTGGAAGTTTGATAAAAATTTTTATTTTCCACAAAGGTATGTATTTTGAAGTTACCAAAAACTCCGTTGAATCCTGAAGTATAATTAATTAATAGTAGTGGGACAAGAATTGAACCTTCAGGAACTCCATGGGAAACATTTAAATCCTCAGAGGCGCGATGTATCATTACTATACACTGAATTTCATTGAATATAAACCATCTTATCAATTCACATGCATCCTCACAATGAAATAAAAGACATATTAATAGAAAATCTTCAGCAGTTTTCGAAGAAATGTGTATTGTTTGGTTAGTTGAAAATATAACATTTTGTGTGGTGAGCGTGGAGATTGATAAACGACCCTTAGCAATTAGAGTCCGTCGAAGTTGCCTGTAATAACATAATTCAAGCATTCAAACTCCAACTCATTCGAATCTTTTCCAGGAAAGACTGGCGTCTAGACCGCAGAGAGGATTGATGAAGGGTAGACATCAATTCCGCAGGCGATTCAGCTTGCAGCCGTCCTTTCTCAAAGAAGAACCAGAAGAAGAGAAACACATCCCAGCAAGGTATACTCAATATCCTAAAATATTAGCTATTCATATCTGAGTTTGGAGTACCCCAAGACACTTTACTTGGTCCCATCCTCTTTACTGTCTATCTGAATAACTTGGTTGTTATACAGTGTCACCAATAAAGTGCGCACCATATGGGAAACTTTTTTTTCGAAAAGTTTCAATGAAGTTTAACTTCGGCACTTGTTTGTGCTTCAAATTTAACTTAAAATGATGCGGCCAACTGCGACCCACTGACGTTCAGTGTTTGTCAAATTCAACTTTTTTTTTGAAAAAAATTTAAAAAGTGCATTTCTAGATCGAATTTAACAAAAAGTTACTTGAAAAAGTTGTGTCTAGGGCAATTTTATATCCATATGCCAAATTTTATGCAACTAGAATAAAGTTAACGTTTTGCTTATTTTTGACAGATATCCCCTTTATTTTAAAAAACAGGTTCGGTTAATTGTCATCAATTCATGTTTACACAACAAACTCATCATGGAGTTTAACTTTTCTGATACATTTTTACTTATACGAACATTTTTAGAGAGAAATTGAAAATTTGCTATAAAAATTTTAACATGACTGGTGCAAAGTTTCAATCACTTGGCTATTTTCTTAAACAAACGTCAGTACCTTCAATTTTGAAAGAGCAGACACAACTCAAAAACTGCAATAAGTATTAATAAAATTACTAGAGTTGAAATTACATTAAAATTTCAATATTCATTATTTACAGATTATTTATAAACACTAACTAGGGCGGTAAGGATGCTTAATCACGTTGAATAAAATTTTTAAGTTGGTCTTGACAAACAAAATGCATGCTATGGTAGTGTCAAGTTGTTGATTTACTTGTCAAATTTTTAACAGTAATTGTTGCAATAATGTTGTTTCTTCAGGAAAGAATAGAAATAGTTTTATTATGTACCTAGTGAGAATACACCATACCGGCAAGTAGCTAACATTTTTAATGAACGGCATACAGGAAAAAATGTTCAACATACTACTGTGTCGAGGATAATATCGAAATTTAGAGAAACAGGATCCGTAGCAAATCAATTTAAGAAAAAGCACACTCCAAGTAAATATGATGAGGAGGCCCAACTTAACATTTGTTTAAAAGTTATTGAACACGGGCAAACGAGCATAACCGATATTATAAAAAATACCGATTACAAGAGAGAAAGTGTTAGAAAATTTCTATTAAAGAATAAATTTTGGCTTGTAAGGCCACATTAACACATTAAAGGAACGAGATTTTGATGTCCGTTTGGGGTTTTCATTCTGGTTTCAAGGAGAGAGAGAAGAAAATGTAAAGTTTCCGTATAAAATTTTATGGACAGATGAGGCAACGTTCTCTTCAAATGGAACGGTAAGTTCTCAAAATTGCCGATGGTGGGCCCAAGAAAATCCCAATTTCACAGTTGAATGTGGTGATCAGTATTCCTTTAAAACTAATGTATGGTGTGGGATACTTAACGACCAAATAATTGAGCCATTTTTTTTCAGGAAAAATTTATTATCCGTCGGTTATCTCAACCTATTGAATAATGAGGTTAGTGAAGTTTTAGATAATATGCCTTTGAATATTAAATACGACCTATGGTATCAGCTTGATGGTGCACCAATACATCACACGGTTGCTGTAAAATATTCCCTCCAACAAATTTTCAGAGGCAAAGTTATTGGACGTAGCTGGGAACATTATTGGCCACCTAGATCACCCGACTTGACGCCTTCAGACTTTTTCTTGTGGGGTTATCTGAAACAAAAAGTATACCGAAGTAGACCATTTAATGACATACAACATCTGGAAAATACCATTCGCGCGTGCTGTGCAAATATAAATCCCCGATTTATCAAAAATGCAGTTACAGATGTCAATAGAAGGACCATAATTTGTATTGAACGTGGAGGACGACATACTGAAATGTAGGCTATAAGTGTTTGACAACCTCATTTAGATCAATAACTAATTTTTTGTACCCATTTGTATTTTCTATAATATTATTGTTGTTTAAAATTTATAATAATAATAATAGTTCTATCGAAATTATTTGTATTTTTTTTAGTTGCCTCTGCTTTTTCAAAATCAAAGGTTTGTTTAAGAAAATAGCCAAGTGATTGAAACTTTGCACCAGTCATGTTAAAATTTTTGTAGCCCATTTTTAATTTCTCTCTAAAAATGTCCGTATAAGTAAAACTGTATCAGAAAAGTTAAACTCCATGATGAGTTTGTTATGTATACATGAATTGATGACAATTAACCGAACTTGTTTTTTAAAATAAAGGGGATATCTGTCAAACCTAAGCGAAACTTTAACTTTATCCTAGTTGCATTAAATTTGGCATATGGATATAAAATTGCCATAGACACAACTTTTTCATGTAACTTTTTGTTAAATTCGATCTAGAAATGCACTTTTTACTGTATGGGATATCTATATAGTATAAATAGTTTTATCTTCCTCTTTGAAGATGATCACTTGGAGATCGAAACACGTGTCGAGGTGTTAAAAATAGCGATTTGGTGTTGGGAAAAAACTCCAGTAATATTCTATAATTCAACCATGAATCGACTTACGAATGAACAACGCTTGCAAATTATCAAATTGTATTATAAAAATTCATGCTCGGTGAAGAAAGTGCATCGTGCACTTCTTCCAATTTATGGGCAGTTTCGTCGGCGTACTGAGGGAGCTATTTGGTAGCTTGTGACTAAATTTCGAACCCAGTTTACATTATTGGACATTAAACCACCAACACGCATACGTAGAGTGAGGACCGAAGAAAATATTGCGGCTGTATCCGCCAGTGTTCGTGATGACCGTGAAATGTCGATTCGCCGCAGCAATTGGGCCTCTGTTACTCCACTACGTGGAACACTTTGCGAAAGGATTTGGGTGTAAAACCTTATAAGATACAGCTGGTGCGAGAATTGAAGCCACACGACCTCCCACAACGTCTAACATTTGGTGAATGAGCGCTGGCAAAGTTGGAGGAAGATCCACATTTTTATCGAAAAATTGTGTTCAGCGACGAGGCTTATTTCTGGTTGAATGGATACATTAACAAGCAAAATTGCCGCATTTGGAATGAAGACCAGCCACAAGTATTGCAAGAGCTACCGATGCATCCCAAGAAAGTCACTGGTGTGGATTATGAGTTGGTGGCATTATCGGGCCGTACTTCTTCACAGACGATAATGGCCGGAACGTTACTGTGAATGACGAGCGCTATCGTGTGATTATTGACGAGTTTTTGTTGCCCAAAATGCAAGAACTGGACATGCCTGACATATGATTTCAACAAAACGGTGCCACATGCCACACGACACACGAAACAATGGCCCAATTAAGAGCCGCCTTCGGTGAACAGTTCATCTCACGTTTGGGGCCCGTCAATTGGCCGCCTAGATCGTGTGATTTAACGCCTTTGGATTATTTTTTGTGGGGTCATGTTGAGGCTCATTTCTACAGGGATGAACCAGCAACGACTGACGCCTTCGGTGAACAGTTCATCTCACGTTTGGGGCCCGTCAATTGGCCGCCTAGATCGTGTGATTTAACGCATTTGTATTATTTCTTGTGGGGTCATGTTGAGGCTCATGTCTACAAGGATAAACCAGCAACGACTGACACTCTGGAAGCCAATATTGAGGCATTTATACGTGAAATACCGGTCGATATGTTAGAGAGAGTGTGCCAAAATTGGAACTTGCGCATGCGCCATCTGAAGCGGAGCCGCGGAAAACATTTGAATGAAATCATCTTCAAACATTAAATTATATTGATCGTTCTATCAATTCCAATAAAGATTTCATCAATTTTTCAAAAAGTTTTGTGTTGTTTTGAAAATCAAATCCTATACCTTTTGAAAAATCACCCGTTATATGTATTTTTTCAATAGATGATTTTATCCTTGTAGCTCCAAACAATGATTACTGTATTCGTCACTTGCCGTAAATGTACTATAGTATGTAAAATGGTCAAATGAAGTACAACTCTACTCTACTCTACTGACTGTAATAGCTTTTGAACTGTACTCTAGATTTCCATCATATTTCGTTTTTTTCCATTATATATACCATCATTATGAAACTTCAGAGTTCTCAGGTCACAGAAGAGCCACGATGTGGAATCTCTGGAGAAAGACGACACTGTCGGTGTCGTGCCTGTCAACAACGTCCGACACAAGATAGTAGTGATGGGTTCCGCTAAAGTCGGAAAATCCTCCATAATATCGCAGTTCCTCTACGGATCCTTCTCCGCCAAGTACAAGCGCACAATAGAAGAGATGCATCATGGAGATTTCAATGTTTCTGGGGTAAGTGATCGTGAATTCGGTCTTGTCGTGATTACAAAGTATCAGTGGCGTACCCAATCTGGGTAATAATCAGTCGTTTTCAGAAAGCGACTTCAGTCCGGTAGATCGGTCTTCTGAGAATGCTTCAAGTGAACTAGTAATATTTTTGTATTGCCGCATAGTACATAGGCTGAAAAGTCTAGGGCTTAACACATACAGTGTGACCAATTTTCAATGGAAACACCCCTCTAAAATTTGAAGTTGTAAATCGATTTTAATAATTTTTTTTTAAACGTCAAGTACTAAAAGGTCTACCTTGGGACAAAATTTGAAATGTTTATTAAAGTTTCAGGGCATACTACGATATTTACTACGGGATTTTTTATTAGCGATTTTTTATTGAAAAAATCACTACGCCACTGGATTCAGAGTGCCTCTAAACAGGTGTTACCAAAAGTTCATGGAAAAATATTCATTATTAACAAAGTTATGACAACTCAAAAATTCGAAAACTCACACAGCTAACAGTCACAATATATCATTTTTTATGATTTCAACAATAAAGTGCCGCCAGATGGAAAAAACAACAAATAGCGTAAATATTTGTAATGAAAATAACGGCAATGAAGCAAAACATTTTAATAAACGTAACTAATAACTAATCATTGAAATGTTTCGATTCAGTGCAACAATTAATTCTAACTCATATTTTAGTAGCCTTTACTAATCCACCACGTATTTCGATACATGTGTCGTAGCGCTTACGAATGTTTCTGATTACGTTCCTTAGTTCTTGAGGGCTAATATCTGCACATACCTGTCGAATTCTTGCACAAAGTTCATTTCTATCTCTTGAGTGGTTTTTGTAAACCTTTTGTGTGAGAAATCCCCAGAGAAAAAAGTCCAAAACTATGAGGTCTGGAGATCTGGGTGGCCATTCTATAAACGGACTACCACGGCCTATCCATCGGTTTGGAAAATGTTCGTTAAGCCATTGCCTCACAGCTCTGGTATAATGAACTGAACACCCATCTATCTGGATGATTAAATTTGATCGTTCATTGATTGGTAGCTCGTGAATAGCATCCCAAAACTCTGTGTTTAAACATTCTAGAAACCTCTACGCATTGATGTTTTCCTCAAAAAAGAAAGGACCAATAATTCGTTCGTTCAATATCCCACACTAGACGTTGATTTTTTGGGAATACTGGCTTTTACAGTTTATTTCCCAGTTAGGATTATCCGCCGCCCAATAGCGACAATTCTGTGATGACACTACTCCATTTGTAGTGAAAGTGGCTTCGTCGGTATATAAAATATTTTTTAGGAAATTTCTATTGTTCAAATATTCCCCTTGGGCCCATAAACAATATTCCAGGCGTCTTGCTTCGTCGTCTTCTTGAGGTGTGTGTAAAAATTTTGGCTTGAAAGGTTTAATATTCTTCGCCTTGAGACATCTCCGAATAGTTTCTCGTGGAATTTTCAAATCTAAAGTGGCATTCCTTATACTGGCATTAGGATTATTTCCGAAATAATCTAAAATGATTTGATCATTCCTGTCATTCCTGTTTCGTCTTTGTACAGGATTACTTTTTAACATCATTTTTGATACTGCACCAGTATCATTGAATATTTTATTTATTTTATTTACCGTACAGCAGCTAATACGAGGACGAACTGGATGTCTGGTCACACCTGTTTAGAGGCGCTCTGAATCCAGTGACGTAGTGATTTTTTCAATAAAAAAATCTCTAATAAAAAATCCCGATTTTCGACTAAGAAAAAATATCGTAGTATGACCTGAAACTTTAATAAACATTTCAAATTTTGTCCCAAAGTAGACCTTTCAGTACTTGACATTTCAAAAAAAAATTATTGAAATCGGTTTACAACTTCAAATTTTAGGGGGGTGTTTCCATTTAAATTGGGTCACACTGTAGATGGCGCTAGTTGAAATTTTATGATATTCTACTCATAAGTTTGTGAGTGAGTGCTAAGAGTGACACTACTTTCGTTATTTTCAAAAAATCTCGCGTTTTAATGTTACACTGTTTCTTGATTGGAAAAAATACCGTTCAAGAGAAGCAATAGCTGACTTCAAACATTGTCGAAGGGACACCGGCGATGTAGATCGCAGTGGACGTCCAAATGAGGCAGTAACGCCAGAAAACATAAAAAGAATCCACAAAATCGGTTTGAATAATCGAGAAGGGAAGTTGCGTGAGTTAGCTGACGTTGTAAAGATATCAAAAAATTGGGAGCGATTCTCTGTTTACTTTTGCCCTGCTGAAATTTATTTCTTTTAAAATTTTCCACAAATTCTTTCTGCCTATTATTGAAGACATACTCTGAGCTCCTTTCAAGGCTACCATTATCTTATCGAGGGTCGGTAATCATTGATTTTTTTGTGGTTTTCATCAGTAGACACTTTTTTTTTCCTAAAGATGGTTTTGCTGATTTCATAGCTTCAATTTTTTCTAACTCTTGAATTTATATATCAATGATTTGAACCTCCCGTCATTTGCAAACACATTTCCACCAGATTATCAACGATATACAAAGGTTTTTGGTGAACGAGAGAGTCATACACACTATTATAATTTACTAATGCAAGTGCTTTATCATCAAGGCATATTCTACAGGTATTAATCTTGACGGCAACTTCTTCTCCAGCGATAATTGAAAATATCTGATTTATGCCTGATTTGATTACGCTGATATTTCTTTCATCAAATCATGTAACAGCATTAAATGATTAAAATAAATAACCCTGGATGAAAAATCACGGGTCTGAGAAAGAAAACGCGTTTTTTTTGTTCAAAATTTGCCTTACCAGTGTAAGTTTTATTATGTACATTAGATATAGATACAATTAAATTCTGTTACAAATGTATTATATGCATTAATTACATTATTACTATTATTTATGAACATAAATATGGAAAGTACAAGTAGAACAACTGCTGATATTAATATCTTGCGATGTTGAAGAGCCTCGTTATATATTTGAACTACCTGAGTTGACCATTTCATGGCCATTAACATTTAAATCTTGAAGTGAAGAAGACGATGATGTAACGCTGGAGCTAGCTGCTGAAATTATTCTTTCAGCAATAGCCTTTTTATAAGAAATAGAATTATCGATGTAACCCTCAGCTACTGTTGTAGACTTCCATCCTCCGTGCTTCTTAATATCCGTTATATTTGCTCCTGATTCTGCTAGCAAAGAAGCAAAAGACCTTCTGAAACAGTGACCTGTATATTCTTTTGGTTCCTCATTATTGTTCTTCGTTATGCTAGACATTAAACACCAGCAAGAACTTCAAATGTGACTTTAAATAAAACGTGTGTTGGTACTGTTTGTTGGTAAGTGGTGATTCGGCGTCACCTGACACGGCCACTTCACGGCTAATGCGATAACATGAAAATAGTTGACTGACAAGAGATGTCAAAATGCATTTTCATAGAAATATTAAATTTGTCTGTTTTATTCTGAAAATAGGACAGTTATACAAAAAACTTCGTATGATATTTGTGTTAAAAGTAAGTTTTATTTTGTTCGTGGAATTGCTCAACGCTACGCTCGTTTCGCAAACTTTTTCACTCACAAAATAAAACCTTACTTCTAACACTCATCATAAATAGCTATTTCAATCCATAATTTTGAAAGTGACAAAAGTAGTGTCACTTTCAGCACAATAACTCACAAACTTATGATTAGAATATCATGAAATTTCAACAGATTTCTTCTGAAGGTTAGTAATAACGGAAAAGCGCCATCTATGTGTTTGGCCCGGGACTTTTTAACCCATGTAGTACTTCATTTCAACTTTCCAACCGACTCAATCATATACGCCTATGAAACAGTCATTTGAAAATGATTCGTTTCTCCGCTGCTTAAGGAAATGAACTATAGTCGCGACAAAAAAAATATACTAAAATATAAACCTTATGGACTTCGAGTTGATTATAAACTAAACAAGTGGCACTATTCCAGGTCCATTTAACTCTGGATATTTTGGACACATCCGGATCGTACGAATTTCCAGCCATGCGAGCCTTATCGATATCATCGGCAGACGCTTTTATTCTAGTTTATGACGTCACCGACTCCAACACCTTCGAGGAAGCCAGATCGCTTCGAGACCAAATCCACGAAACCAAATGTTCGACATACGTTCCAATCGTGGTTGTCGGAAACAAGACGGATTTGACAGGGGATAGGGAGGTAGGTTGTATTTTTTGGAAAATCGTTATAATTTAGTACATAGAGTTCGTATTTTATGTCAAACTGAAGGCCCTAACTGACTCTGCGTTAGAAAAATTGGAACTTCCGTTAACATAAATAGATTGTTTTGAAGTATGCCCTAAAAAAAGTAAGACCGGCCGCCGCTGGTCTTCGTTTATCTACTGTGACTTGGCCAAGGTCGCGCTCAACTCTACTTGGGATTCGCGTCTCTTCGAGAATATTCCTATCGGCTCCAAAGTCTTCCATCGGGATATATAAGCACTACCAACAGGCAGAGGACGAGTTTAGTTGAAAGTGCGGTACAAAGTTAGCTAATGAGGCGATATTCATTCGACTATTACTCTAAAGTTCAGTCAAGCACTACAGAAAAATCCTTGAAGGGCTCTCAGAGCGGTGCCTGTGCGAAAGTAGCGATTCGAATTTGAATCGCTAGACATCAACTACAATTGGAAAAACGTTCTCATAAAGTTTATTGCACATGAACGCAAATGAAGTTCGAGGTGTACAAGCCTGGTGTAACGCGAACTCCTTGTGCTTCAACCTAAACAAAACGAAAGTACTTACTTTCAAATGTATACTAGACGATTTAGATTTAGATAACCACTACATAGAAAACAAACACCACACTAAATTCCTAGGAATTCACATAGACAATAAATTAAATTTTAAAGAACATATGATGTACTGTTTGGAACCTTTGGTGTAGTAATGAATATTACTGGAGTTTTTTACCAACACCAAATCGTTATTTCAACACCTCGACACGTGTTTTCTTGAAGAATGAAGAATGGAAAATGTGAATGAGCTAAAGTATAGTACACACTTGTAAGACCCAGTTTGGCAATTATGTCTTTAAACTGTGAAATGGCAAAATAAGCTTTATTAAGCAGCTTGCAGAGGTGGTCAATGTGTGGTTACCATGTTAACTTGCTGTTCATCTCTTTGACATCACGCGTATACTTCGTCAAGCGTTACCTGAGTTTTGCGGCAAAGTTCCTCCTCAGTAACACCCGACACAGTAACAGTGGTATCGTCATAATACAAAGTGGTGGCACCATATTAAATATGATTTGGTAAATCAATTGTGGAACATTGTGGAACACCGAGAGTTACGTCATGCATGTCCGATTGAAATTTATTACATTTTACAATTAGTTTCCTATTTTCCATGTATGAGTTGATATAACTTAGGAGACATATTCTTATACCGATATTATATAGAGAACAGAGGTCTATATTGTGTATCGTTTGGTGGTCAATAAATGCAGCATATGAATTAAGTGGTCTTCTGTGATATTATTTTGAACCACTTTACATCAAAGTTTTGGGGTTCTAGCATTTTCTCTAGTTGATAGGAGAGATAGCTTCTGATAAAAAGAGCTATTCCAAAGTTACGTTTGAATCGGGAGTGGAAATCATAGCCGGGATATAGAAAATTGACGGTGTCTGTTGAAGCACTTACTTTGGTTTTTGTGAGTGCAAGAATATGAGGACTATTTGTATTGGCAGTGTGGTCAATTATTGTCGAACTCACGGGGAAGACTTAGCAGGATAAAAGTAGAGTAATTATAGAAGTAGAAGGACTGAAATGGAAATATGAAATGCCAGTGCCATAAAACATGCTGTTGATGTCATCAACACCTCAAAAACAGAAAACTCATCTAACTTGTGTTTATGTATAAGAATGAAGTATGTAGATAGTCGTATGAACAACCTACGTAGCTTTACTTTTCGTCCAATTTTCCACCCACGTGAATTCCACGTTCAAAGGTGATGTTTGTTGTTGCTATTCTCAAGCACCCTCCTTCTTCCACTTCCACAGAAATATATCTCGCACATGGAAGCAATTAATTTGATGGCTTAATTTTCACAAAGTGTTTCATCAGTCTCAGCCCTCTGGGAACAATTATTAGTTTGAATTTAATTACCCACGGAATCGTTAGGATTTGATTATTGTGAAGGAAATTAAAATCAATTAGAGTATTTCGAAAACCACAGTTTGTTACTTTGGAACGTTCCATTTTCTTGATGGAAGGAAGTAGGCCAAAGTTTAATGGAAAATTTCAGAAACAAACCTTTGAAATACGGGTAGCAGCTAGAGACTACTACTAAACTTATATACTCAGTATATATTCCATGTGCGGTTCATCATATGACATCATTTGAAAACATTGCAAATTTTTTTTGTTCAGTTGGAACTTTTCAATCCTACAGTTCTCAAAATTGATACAGTGATATATAATCATGAATTTCAAATTGTCACTTGTCAATTGTTACTTTTCAAATCTGTCAATCAACATTTTTTAAATATGTCAATTGTCAATTCACATATTTATCAGTTGAAATCATAGTCATCTTCATTTTCATCAGGTTGGAAATTTTTTCCCTTGCCCTTTCAACTGAGATTCGTCCTGACTGGAGTATTTGATGAACAAACTATCCATTTCAACAGATGTCGTGGGGCCTTCACTCAACCGAGCGACGGGGCCTTCTAAATCGAGTGGGGTCCTCTATAGTGTAATCTACAGCTTCCCTAACTAATGGGTTATCATGAGTTTCCGCTGACTCGAAAACTCTCTGATTCCTCGACTGAATGGACTGCCGTATACTTAACAGCTTCAAATCTCCGCGGGTGGCTTCATTCCGCACGAACCATGAAGCATTCACCAGCATCCTGAGAAGTTTGTTTTGCAACCCTTCCAAAATGGAGAGGTTTGACGGGGCGGTTTGTCCCCAAGCACCTGAAGCATACTTGAAGACAGGCTTGAACATCGTGTTGTATAGTAAAATCTTATTTTTAAGACTGAGTTTTGAATTTCTATTGACCAGAGGGTAGAGTTTAACTATCCTCATCTGTACTCTGTTCTTGATATAGTCAATGTGATTTACCCAGGTGAGTCGGCGGACTACCCAAAGACCTAGGTACTTGACTCGCGTTTGTCATTCGCTTGCCTGAAATCGTGACTCTTGTGTCAGGAGAAACTTTACGTCTCCCCAAGTTTATCGCCTGAGTTTTCTCTGGATTCACTCGAATCTTCCAGTCAAGGTACCAGCGTTCGAGGTCGTTCAATGCGCGTTGCATGTAGACGACCGCCAACGCCCAACCCATGGAAGAAGCGAGGAGAGCCGTATCATCGGCGTAAAGGGAAACCTTCACGTGATCGAACTTCGGAAGGTCGCTCGGAAGTAGTGGAGACAGCACAGTTCCCTGAGGCACCCCAGCTTCGATTTCCCTGACGGGAGACAGGGTCCCTTCAACTCGGACATGAAAGGTCAGAAAGGTCCTAATCCACCGGACCAGACCCCGAGGCAGATGGAAATCGAGCATTTTGTGTAGCAGGCCTTCGTACCAGACTCGGTCGAAGGCTTTGAAAATATCCAGGAGGACGAGATGGACTGTCTTCCTGTTGTTCAGCTCTGAGATGGAATTTTCGACCAGTCTCAGGGCCTGCAGCTCGGTGGAGTGTGCCCTTCTGGAGCCGAATTGTTCGCCAGGCAGAACATTTCGGTCTTCAGCTTCTTCTGTTAGCCTTTGCAGCACAACACGTTAAGCCAACTTAGCCGTTGAGCAAAACAGACTAATCGGACGATGATTCTGGGGAAACAGCGGGTTCTGGCCTTGTTTCGGAATCATGACAACTATGGCTTGCTTCCATCTTCGGGAGAAGTATCTGAGAGTGATTGAGCTGTTGATAATGTCCAGCAGGTATATGATGAAGTTCTCCGGGAGCTGCTACAACAACCTGAATCAGTTGAAATGTACAAAAGCGTAGAAAAGCTATACTACTTATTCTTTGACATTTCTGACTTCATACTCTGATTTATGGATTTCTGACTTCCAACTTCAAACACGAAATAATGTAAATAGTGAATGAGATCAGGTTAGCTCAAAATGTTAGGTTGGGTTAATGTGAGAAATCCTCTAAGTTCCTAAAGCGGGAATTTCAAATTGCAATATAGAAAATAATGTTAAGAATGAACTATTAATGATAGATTTTTTAATTTTTCTATACTGGCACCCTTATGCAGTCGTAGATAATCAGATACAAAAAAACGATGTGAAAACTTGATGAAGTAACCAATAGATGTTGAGATCTTTTATCATCAGTAGGTTGATTTTTTTGAAATGTGCACAAACGAATGACCAGTCATAGGCAGAAGGTGGATAACTTTGTATTTCAAATTCCCGGGACAATGTAGCGCATTAAAGAATATGGAGGATAAAGAACCCTTAAAAAAAATGTTTCGCAGCAGGGGTCACTGTAATCCCCAGTTGCTCAGGAAGTTGAGTTCCTGAATATGACTGGTAATTTTACATGAAAAACACACCCCTACCTCTTACATCTCTATCTGCTTGAAACAGACTGCAGCTAAATCAATTTTCACAAGAAGTTAAGCTGCTGATTTGGATGTCTAAATTATTCAAAAATAACATTATAATAGTAAAAACTGATTATGTTAATGATAAAAGCGAATATATACTTGTTGCTCTTTTTCATTCAATTTTGTTTATTGTTACTAGTTCCTACTAGTGGAATTATTGAAAATACTAAGAGTTATCGGACTTAAATATTCAAAGGAGTTAGTTCAAAACAGGTGAAATTGAAGAATTGAGTATAAAAATTAAAAAAGATGTAGGAACGCTGATTTGTAAAGCGGATACATTATTGTAACATGAAAAGTCACAGAAACACAGAATACAGAACAGAGCACGCAGTACCTTCATAGCACACACAACAAAGAACAGAACAGAACAGAGAACACAGACTCACTGACTAGCTGACTAATTTACTGACTGACCTACTGACATACTGTCATATTGACTTACTGAGCAACCGACTCATTGACTGATTGACTAAATGACTGACACTGTGACTAACTGACTCACGAAGTTAGTGACCGATTCACTAAATTATTGACTTACCAATTGAATTAATGACTCACTAAATATACGGGGTGTTCCATTTGAAAAATAAAGTTGCTAGGACTTTTTGATAGAAGTGGCAACGCCGCAATGCTGAAAATATTTTAGATCAGTAGAACAGGTAAGGAAATGTGAGAGGTGAAATTTTCAGAAAAATCTAGCTTTGCGTTTTCCAGAAACGTCTAACCTACCATCGACCGTGAGTCACGCTTTATACAAAATTAGTCAAATATACACACATCGGAAAAGTCTAGGGATATTTTTAAAAATGGCAATAATTTTGTTTTAGATCGCTTTAGGGAAAAAAAAGTTGACGGGTGATTATTAAACGAATGTAACTTTCAACAAAATTTATTAAATGGTCAAAAATACTGAGTGCGCATATAAACAAAACTAAAAAAAAATATGGCTCTTCTTTGGCACCCCGAAAAAAAATCATAATACAAAAAAAATTGGAATCAGTACAAAGTATGGCCTCCACGCTGGTTAATTACGGCCCTACATCTATCGTGCATCGACAAAATGAGATTGTCAATGTCTTGTTGAGGTACATTTGCCCATTCAGCGATTAAAAGCTCTCTCAATTGAAACGTTGTGTGAATGTTCCCCATATGCGGAGTAATTCTTCGTTGAAGCATGTCCCACACATGCTCGATGGGATTCAGGTCCGGTGATTGTGCTGGCCATGGCAATACATCAACTCCTTCGTTGGTGAGCCAGTCAGTCACTAGATGCGCGACATGTGGACGAGCATTATCGTGCATTAGGTGGAAGTTTTCACCAACAGCACCAGCGAACGGACGGACGATAGGTAGAAGAATGGTGTCGAGGTACTGTCGAGCTGTGAGGGAGCGATTTGGAAAAACGAGATCGGTTCTGCCGCCGATCATGATTCCGCCCCATAGCATTACTGTACCACCTCTGTATGTGTGGACTTCCTGGACGTGTCTCGAACGTTCATTATTTCCAGGTCGTCTCCACAGTCTTACTCGACGAGAATCTGGATGAAATCCAAATCTGGATTCGTCTGTAAACAAAACTGTGGCCCAATCATTTGCATCCCAGTTTTGATGTTCTTGACACCACTCTAATCTTTTACTGCGATTGCCTCTCGACAAAGGTGGACATCTAAGTGGCCTTCTGTTGTGGAGATCTGCTTCATGCAGTCGATTTCTGACAGTATCACGACCAATGGTTACCTGGTGCGTCTGCTGCAACACATTAACCAACTCAGGTGCTGTGATTGTCGGTTGTCTTCTTGTGGTTAAGACCAAAAATCGGTCTTGAACTACAGTTGTAGCGCGTCCTCGCCCTGGATGTTGTTCGGCTGGACTGCCAGTTTCACGGAAACGCCGCCACAATCGACTGATAACACTTTGCTAGACCCCCAAACGAAGAGCTACATCATTTTGTCGCATGCCACCTTGAAGAAGCCCTACAGTTCTATTCATCTCAGCCAATGGTAAGTGATGGCGTTCCATGTTAAAGCACAATATTTCCAGTTTAATTGCTGAGCAAGAACTGCATAGAATGTACAAACTCGACACTTTCAGATTATTCATTTTAGCCGAAAACCTACAGTTTGTAAAAAACTTGATAAAAGATTAGTTACCGTTTTTGCAGGCTTTGTTCAACCCATAGAAATCTACAGGGTGGTCGAGTGTACCAATTTAATCGAAATTAAACGACCTCATGCATTTATTTTTATGATATTTAGTATGTTATAAAAATATCCCTAGACTTTTCCGATGTGTTACAGATCTAGCAACCTTCAATTCGCCTGTGATTTGTAAAAGGTAATAGATGGTCTTTATAGTGTCAAGCTCAGTACATCAATTATCACGCAAGACTGGTTGTCACTGCCGAGTGACGTCGAGGCGCGCATCGGTGACCACAAACTGAACTGAAAGTTCTGTTTGCCAGGAAAGCAGATAAGCCTTCATCTGTATCTGTAAAGTAGGGAGGGCGAGTGTGAGCCCACAGCACTGAGGCCACATGTGACATGTGAGGCCACATTGTACATCCTCCCGAGGAGTTGTCCTTCTAGGTCATCGTCCATCCTGTCCTTTCCAGAAAGATGGATAGGTCACTGGGAGACATCTCCTTTATATCGGCAGGTGTAGGCCAAGACTCGCCGAACACACACTCTCTTATTGAAGATGATTCCGGGCACTCGCGTAGGACATGCCTGACAGTCTCATCTTCCTGTTCCCACATCCTGCATAGAGGTGTGTCCACTAGCCTCACAATATGGAGGTGTTTCTTCAGTTGACAGTGGTCAGTCAGAAATCCTACTGATAAGCGTAGATTTTTTCCTGGTCATCGCCAGATATTTCTTCGGTGCAAGCTTCCCAGGGTCGTCCAGGGTGATCCTGGCAAAATTGCATTCTTCAAATTCATCCCATCTCTTTAGGGATCGAGCATGGGTGTAACATTTAGCTAGTTCCGGAAATGTCGAAGTCATCAGGCCGTAGGTGCCACTCTCGGGGCCAGGGGTTGCGCGTTTGTCCGTTGACTAAGCCTCCGTACCGTTCTTTTCACCTGTCTCTCTATTTCGTCTACCTCGTCTGTGAACGGGACGTCATTTCTGAGTTTTTTCTGCATTTGCCATGCAGATAGATCTTCTGTGGTCAGTTCTTCCAGACGGGTAGTCCATTGTCTTTCTCGGATCGCTTTCAGCTCTTCTTTCAGTATCCTATTTGCTCTATGCATGCACCTTTTGTCCATAGGTGCACGTGTCCTTTGGTCCTGTCTTTTCAGGCGTCTTCTTATTCTGATTAGTTCCATCGTTTCTGGTGGAAGATGCTCTTGGAAGTTATAGCGCGTGGCTGGGACTTCCCGCGCGCTTCTTTCCGTTGTTTGTATGATCGCCTGCTGAAGCTGGTCCGTGGCATTCTCCATTGTCTTCAGACAATGCGATTACCTTTACCTTCGTCTTGCCCTTTAATCCATCTCAGGATAATGGTATTATCTACCGAGGCTTTGGCTAAATCTTGGTGGCACTCTAGTACCAGCCCTGAGGTAACACGTTGTCTGTTCAAGGCTAATAGGGCTTGTCTGCTGTCAGTTCTGATTGTGAGGTTTCTGCCAGAAACTCTTTTCTAGTTATTTCTTTTAAGGCGATTGAGATACCAGCCAGTTCTGTTTATAAGCCTTCATATTTCAGTCAATACTATTCAGGGAAGTGAATACTTCATCACACTGTTCAACGCTATTCAGGAATGGAGATTAAAGTTCCATTAAAAAGTTGATAGATGAAATTGGGAGGAATGAGGAGTTTTTGCTACAAAAAGATATTCATAACTGACTGTCCTTATAAATCACCAAGGATATCATGTTTTATTCCTTTCTAGGTCGACACAGCAACAACCGAATCAGTAGTAACCGTCGACTGGGAGAACGGCTTCGTCGAGACCTCCGCCAAGGACAACGTGAACATCAGCAAGGTTTTCAAAGAGCTGCTGGTGCAGGCGAAAGTCAAGTACAACCTGAGTCCGGCCCTCCGTCGGCGTCGTCGCCAGTCGCTGCCGGCGCACTCGGGGCCTCCGCAGACGCCCACCCACGCCGCCATGATTCCTTCCGCCGTCCAGCTGCAGCATCTCCAGCAAATCAGAGATCGCCATGGCAAAAGAAACTCTTGTATTATCTCCTAAGTATACTTTTCTAAATGCTATTTTATATTCTTAGGTGCTGACGAACGGTGTGGGCGGTCCAAATGATTTATTTTACCTCTTCAGTGTTTCAACGATTTCTTTTTCTTTCGACTGAATGCAGGTGGTGAATGTCGACGTTCTGTTTCTTAGTCTGGGCTATGGGAAGAGTGAGTGGTAGATACTTTCTTTCTGGGTATTAAGGAAAGGCGTTACTTGAGCTCGTTGTCACTTTTGATTTGAAGCTTTATAACTTCTGTTTGCTATAATTTTTTTGGCTCTACTCAAACTGAACATTTTATCTTCTTGTTTGTTTTTTTATGCAGTTAGAACGGCTTAGTGCAGGTACTACAGGTAAATTTTTCTGTATTTGGGTTACAACAAGTGGCTCTTTAATTGAAATCAATATGGGAATGATCAAAAAGTACTTATCTATTAATTTTATATATGCCAGGCTGAGGAACATCGCGTTGACATTCCGTACAAGCATTTTTTTTCCGAAAACTCAACGCAATAAACCAAGTTTTTCTAACCATTTGTGGCTTGGAAATTAAATATTGAATTGGAAACCTTGAACTTATGTTTCTTATCATTTGGTCACATTTATTCTTTGGTTTGTAGCTGATTTATATTTTGTGAAATGTGATCTTTGAACACCAAGGACCAAACATCAACTGTTCTGCCCTACAACTTGATTCTTCCATGTATTCATAACTAGCGTAAGTGTAGTGGAACGCTATCAATATACATATAGACGTATGTATGACTGCGATCAATTTCAATAATCGTACTTTATATATAGGGTGGTAATAATATTCACGTCGATCCATTTTTGTATTGTAGAAAAGCTGTTATATCGATGCATTGTCTCTTTCGATGTTTTTGTAGACGCTAGTTTTGTTCATTGCAGTGTACATATTTTTTCAGAGATTTTTTCTGCTGCCTCTGACATACGAGAGGAAACAAAACTATCCAAAAGTAACTGTCATGAAGTTTAAAAATAATCACTTCTGTCATTGTTCTGCATATTGTAGGTGTAACTTTTTATATGTAAGAAATGATTGCTAAATGTAATTTCTGACTGGTATCGAAAAAAATAATTGTTTCATTCTTCAACATAGTTGAAAATGATGATTTTCAACTCAATTGAAGGTGATTCCAAACAAATATACTAAACATAGTAGGAACATGAATGTTTTTTTTTAAAGTGGTTTACAATGTTTCATGGTGAATTTCATTAGTTTAGACTTCCATTTTATAATATGATTCTATTATGATTTGAAAGCTATGAAAGAACAAATAAAATTAGAATGAATAGTTAAAATATCAATTATATCAAGAAATAAAACGTGAAATGAAACACTATTTAGAGATCACTCAAGCGCTTTCACCTATCCCCTCGCCCCTCTCTCCGCTTCAGCGGTTTAGCGGAAGTCAACCGTTTGGCGGGAGTTGACCGTTTTTCACTTGATTACAGGTTTCCATATGTTGCGTGTCTCTAAACGAGCTTAGCTGAATGCGTCGTGGACAACACTTATGCAGCTCCTTTGAACTTCCTCTTCAACTAGTGTTCCCCCTTGTGGATAATCTCAGCCACCAGGCTACCAAACGAAGTAAAACTATAGCAAATTGTCAAAAGCAAAGCATGTTTGGACTCATCAACATAGCATCAAGTGGTTCCAAGCTGAGATCATCCACAGTGGGGAACACTGGTTTAAGAGGAAGTTCAAAGAAGCTTCATATCTGTTCTCCGTATAGCTGTATATAGTTCAGTCTTCACCCGAAGATGATTGTGGATACTAACAATCGAAACGTCGAGAAGTAACATGGTATGAAATACTTTTTAATTCTTCGTTTATTTTTATTTATTTTTTCTCTGTGATTATTTTCATTTTCTATCTTGATTACTTTATTTGTTTTATTGTATTTTCATTCCACGTTTTATTGCTTAATATAATCAATGTCTGTCGAATATAAATTCAATGTTCATTGTGGAATTTACAATCTAAAATTTATTGTCTGAGAATATGTCGTGCTGAGTATTTCAATGTGTATTTTCATGCAGACTCGACAAACTTTACAAAAAATAAATAAACATGTCTTTCAGATGAAAGAGTTTGTAGTTTTTTCACTTTCTTACAATTCTCTCTTGAAAATAATTCGAGGAGGATGTTTGTATTTCATAAATTCCACTTTTTTTATTTTCACAGAAAAAACTCAAGGTGAAACAAGTCTGGTGACCGTGGAGGCCATTTTTTGTAAAAGTGTCATCTTCTACTAGCATAAATAATTCTCTTAATTTCCGTTGGTACCAGAGATTTGGCAGTTAAATCTATTTTTCAGCCCAACCTTCTGGATGTGGTGAGAGAAAGAACAGAAAACATGTATAACTCCTGCATTTAGTAAGACCTAAATATTAAGTTGCTGGTAATGAAATGAAGACAAGAAGAATATATCAGCATATATCAATCTACATATCAAATAAACATTTCTTAGTTCGATACCAGTTTGAAATATTTCAAACCTCTCACACTTACAGAACTGTAATTCAAAGATTTGTATGTGTTTTCGTTTTTAACAAAATCTTGCATGTTTTCGTGGATGTTTTATAACAGTTGGTATGTATAACTACTCATTTGAGAAATAATTATATTTTCATACAAAATTTATGTCAACGCAGATATTTTGTGAGATTGTTGGGATAGATGATTGAGCGAAATTATGTCAAAATGTTATGTATCGATGCTCAGAAGAAGAAACTTACATATCTGCAGAGGCTGACAGAGCCCATACTGATTTCTCTGGACAATCGATAATGCTAAATACTTCTTGGTACGAGATTCTTTCTCCATTTTTGATAGTAGACCTTTCAAACCCTCTTTGATCGCATTGAATATAAACAGTGCCAAATTAGCACGTTACTTATTGTGCCAAAAAAGTTTTTTTGTCAATAACTTCAAAAGTTTTTTCATACAGGAAGAACCGTAAATTAATTTCGATCAAAATCTCAAGCAAATCATACAAACCAATATTTCCTTCGAATTCTATGTGCGACTGACAGAATCAGGGATCAATTATATTTGGAGTCTCTCAAACAATGCTTTAACTTTTGGTGATGATTTGATTTTCCAATATGCTCTTGGAAAAAAATCCAAGTCGTTATTGCTAGCCTTATATTTGATTTTTGAAACATACACGTTGCTAAGCTGCCAAGAAAACGGGTTATTATAGATTATCGTTTGTAAAGCTGTATATGCTTTATGATTTTTGGATGAACTTTAACGAGTTTTAGAGTTTTTCATATTGAACTTTTTTCAAACTCAAGGGTATTATACCTCCTGAAATGTGCATTGATACTGATTACTGATTTTTCTTCACCCTATATGATAACTTGCGAATGAAATTTACATTTCACTTGTCTCAAAATGAACATATTAAATTATATACATACTTAATTTTAATGAAATCAAAAATCATGTAATGTAAACTTAATATTGAATAAAATATATATATCATTGTTGTAATATTTTATTCTCAATCACATATTCTTATGCTATCCTATAAGTTTTTCATCTACCACGTGAACTAAAAGTTTGTTCACAAGAAAAACCCTTTGGAAACCTTTTTTTTTTTGATTCGTCATTAGCATCTCGACGAACGAGAAAAAACTGAATTTCAATAAATAACATGCTTATTCATTTGTATTGTAAACTGTAGATTCCAAACGGTCTCGCGGCAATTCCAGCAGAACAAAATCTGGTGAGCGTGCTATTCACTCTATTGAACATTGAGTTATTTCAGTTGCTAGGTTAGATAACCTAAAAAACCCAAATAAAGATGTTCTCTCCTTCAAGATTATCTATTCATACATTTCTTACGTATGAAGAATAGTCACCGCTTTGCTTATGTGATATATTTAATCACAATTCTCAATTTGTTCGATTTGAACCTGGAAACTCTTCTTGGAATCCAAGAATGTCGATTTTCACAGCCGGAGATAACTGAGCCAAAGCTATTTTCCAGTTTTTTGGCAGTGGTCAGTAGTTTTTTTGCCTGGTATTTCGTCTACAACTGCGATAGACATTATCAAAGGCATTGAGGTAGCAGTCGAAATGCTCAAGTTGTTCTCAACACAGAAACCACTATATTGATCCTATGTGGGCGTAGTGTCGTTTCTCTCAACTGGATTACCTGACCTTGTTTGTGTACAATTGAGGACAGGTAGCCAGATTTCAATGATGTTAACAGAGCCGTTTTTGAATATAAAAAGTGAGATTTTAAAAAAAAGCTCGGACACGTCGATTTCTAATTGAAGAGGGATACCTTTCAGACTAATCAGATTTTTAGTAGTACGCACCCCCTCGGAGGGGTGCGTCCGACGACCCTTATTTAGATAGGGAAAGTAGGTCAAGTGGCACCTTGTTTTAAAGGTCGTTTGAATACCTTTACATCTCTGTTAAAAGAAAATTTTTGTAACGATTAGTTTTCGTGATAATTTGAAGATTTAAAGGTATTTTGATTGAGTTCAACTCTTTTCAAAATAAATCAAATTGTTTTTGAGGTACAATTTACGTTCAGAACTTTCATAAAAAAAATAAATTTTTGCTTTTTATGACAACCTGTGTCCATTTGATTTCGTAAAAAAGTAAGAATTATTTATTTATTACGAGGAGATTTTTTCAGGGGATGGGGTTGGTTACCACCCTTACATTTTAGGTAAATTGAGTGGCACATCCTTATGAAGGTTGCCTTTTGACGTGGATATTTTATGCTTCTGATAAAAAAGTGAATCATACTAAAGACTTACCTACACAACAAATACAACCTGCTGATTTCCTTGATTGCAGATGACACAGAAAAGTTAAAAAAACTGTTTTAGGGTTAATAAATCCCAATAATTGTTTTTAAAGCACACACAAAAAAGTAACACCTAATAAGGTAACTCACATAGGAAATTTAGAGTAAATGTTCAAAATGTGCGTCATTTTGCTCCATGCAACAATAAAGATTTTGTACGAATTTTGCTCTTACATTATTCAACATCTCAGGAGTTATAGCTCGGCATTCATCAATAATTCTACGATGTAATTCATCCAAATCGGCTGACTGTGTAGCATAAATTTTAGACTTTAAATATCCCCACAAAAAGAAGTCCAGTGGTGTTAAATCTGGTGATCGTGCTGGCCATTCAATTGGACCTCTTCTGCCAATCCATTGTCCTTCAAAATGATTATTAAAAAAAATTCGAACCTGCTGAGCATAATGGTGTGGTGCACCGTCTTGTTGAAAATGGATAAATTCATCTTGACATCTTGGATCCTGTTCAATTATTTCAACTATACGAGGTTGTATTGCCTCTTCAAGAAGTTGTAAATGAGAATCACTGGTTAAATTTCCATCAATGAAAAATGGACCTATAATATGATTGACTAATATTCCGGCCCAGACATTCAACTTTTGGGGATGTTGGGTATGTATTTCTGCGTATTGTCTTGGGTTTTCATTTGACCAATAACGGCAATTGTGACGGTTCACGCAACCATTTAAATAAAATGAGCTTTCGTCCGAAAAACAGATTTTGCATTAATCTCTCACACATGCCCCCACAAAACTCCTGTCTTCGGTCAAAATCATCCTCATTGAGTTCATGAACAAGTTTAATTTTGTAAGGATAAAATTTGTGGTTTTTAAGGATTCTCCATGCGCTCATATGGCTTATTCCGGCCATTGCTGATAAACCTCTGGTACTTAACCTGGGATTGACGATGACTTGACCAATCACTCCAATCGCATTATCGTCATTCACTACCCTTCTCTGAACATTTCTTTTCTTATTTAAAACCGAACCTGTCTCCCAGAATTTTGTGACCAAATCCAGAACGTGATTTCTGCTTAGGTGTTTACCAGGGTTTTGCTCGTTAAATAAAATTGATGTTTTATTAGCATTTTGGTCGTTGCCTAAAAATAAAGCATTAACTGAAACCCTTTCAGCAGTAGTGTAAGGCATTTTTAAACAAATAACAATACACGGTTTAAATAAAACAATCGAACGATGTACTAATGAAAACTGGAAGAAGAGGAGTGGGTATTGATTTCTAAGAAGGGATTTCATTTAACAAAAAACTGATAGGAAGAACTGCTCGAAAATTTTTTTATGTAGGCATACAATATACCGAGTGATCTGTCTAATGTATTATTAACATGGCAATTTCAACTTCAAATTATCTCGAAAATTAATTTTTTTTTAACAGAGTTGTAAAGGTATTCGAAAGACCTTCAAAACAAGGTGCCACTCGACCTACTTTCCCTATCTAAATAAGGGTCGTCGGACGCTCCCCTCTGAGGGGCTGCGTACTACAAAAAATCTGAAAGGTGTCCCTCTTTAATTAGAAATCGACGTGTCCGAGCTTTTTTTAAAAATCTTACTTTTTATATTCAAAAACGGCTCTGTTAAGTTTTCGTTGTTACACACTGTATATTATTGGATAGAAATCTGCCCGCATATCCGAAATTTGCCCTATTCCTCGTATAAGGAAAAAAAACTTTTCACATATAGTCAATGGGCAAACAATCGGAATGTCGTGAAGTAACTTGGTTTGATATCTTTTAATTTTTAATATTCATTTCTTGTTAATAATTCAATTTTTAATTGTTGCTTGTATTCTATTCCATTATAAATTCTTTTTTTTGCTCAATATAATTGTTGTTTTTTTAGCTAATCTTTTCAATTTAATAGATTTTTTCAGGTATTTCTAATCATTTTATATCATATTATACAATGGAAGTTCGAACTAATGAAATGCATCATGAAAAATTGTCAACCACCTGCAAACAAGCCAATTTGTACTTAGCAGGCTACTAAGTAAGGTAAGTGCTCTTAGATGATATCACCAATTCAATATTCCTACACCCAGTCACAAGAAATGAGTTGATCGATATCATTTCCGGATTAAAAAATAAAACTTCTCCTGGTCCCGATAAGATATCTGTGTTCCTTATCAAAAGGTTCCATAAGTACTTTTTAGAACCTATATGTCACATTTTGAATTTAATATTTACTGTAGGAAAAATGCCTGAATCTTTGAAAGACTCAATCATACTACCGATTTTTAAGTCTGGTGGTAAAAAATTAGTAACAAACTTTCGACCGATAACTATGATTAATAACTTCTCTAAAATATTCGAAAAATATCTCAAAAATAGATTCATACTATTTTGCAATAAAAACAACATTTTTCTGAATCACAGTATGGTTTTCTAGAAATCATATCAACAGAAAACGCAGTGCAGTTTTTGAGATTGTTAACCAAATCAACAACTGTTTTCAAAATGCATAACTGTCTTTTTGGATTTGGCCAAGGCATTTGATACTGTGGATCATAATATACTCCTCAACGTTTAGCTAACATTGGTGTGAGGGGTGATACTTTTGAAAATATTTGAAAACAATTTGACAAATAGAACACAAATTGTCAAGGTAAACGACTCTCTCAGCGACCCACTTAAAATTACCCGAGGCGCACTCCAAGGAACTGTATTAGGACCCATCTTATTTCTAATATATATGAACATCTTCGAAATTTCTGATTTCAATGGTGAAATGAGTTCATTTGCTTGAATTTCATTAGTTTGGACTTCCATTGTCTACTATATAAAATGATTTGAAATTCCTGAAACAACTAAAAAAGAAGAATTGAAAATGAATAGCTGAAAATAACAATTATATTAAGCAAAATAAACCTGAAATGAAATAATAGTGAAATGAAATACAAGAAAAATAGAACAATTGAACAAAAATAAATAAAAATAAAGAAATGAAAAAAGAAAATAAAAAAGTTGAGAGATTCCAAGTCACGTTAGTTCACGAAATTTCTTCAATCGTCTTCGGGTGATGATTGGACTGATTCCTCCGAGAGATGACTATTTATAGGTCGTTCGAGTACTTTCACTTATCCCCGCTTTCCATTTTCCGCTTCACTGGTTCAGTGGGAGATGAACGTTTAGTGGGAGTTGGCCATTTTTCGCTTGATGATGGGTTTCCATATGTTGCGTATTTCTACGCTGGCTTGGCTGAATACGTTGTTGGAAAACATGTATGCGGCTTCCTTGAATTTTCTCCTATACCAATGGTCCTCTCTGTGCAAGATCTCAGCTTGGGACCACTCGATGTTGTGTTGATGGATTGATGGTTCGCATTGCCAAGCACAAGAAACACACATAGCGAGGGGAAACCAGCAAATCAGGAGTAGCAGACCATGTTTGGACCCATCAACACAACATCGAGTGTTCCCAAGCTGAGATCTTGCACAGAGAGGAACATTGGTTTAGGAGAAAATTCGAAGACGCCGCATACATGTCCAACAACGTAATCAGCCAAGCCAGCGTAGAAATACGCAACATATGGAAACCTATCATCAAGCGAAAAATGGCCAACTCCCGCCAAACGGTCATCTCCCACGAAACCAGTGAAGCGGAAAATGGAAAGCGGGGATAAGTGAAAGTACTCGAACGACCTATAAATTGTCATCTCTTGGAGGAATCAGTCCAGTCATCACCCGAAGACGATTGTAGATACTAACAATTGAAACGTCGTGAACTAACGTGACTTGGAATCTCTCAACTTTTTTATTTTCTTTTTTCATTTCTTTATTTTTATTTATTTTTGTTCAATTGTTCTATTTTTTACTTGTATTTCATTTCACAATTATTTCATTTCAGGTTTATTTTGCTTAATATAATTGTTATTTTCAGCTATTCATTTTTAATTCTTCTTCTTTAGTTGTTTCAGGGATTTCTAATCATTTTATATAGTAGACAATGGAAGTCCGGACTAGTGAAATTCATCATGAAACATTGTCAATCACCTTCAAACAAACTTTATTTGATGATGTAACAGCTATCACTTTTGTTGGAAAAATGTGGGAAAAAGTATACATCCAGTCTAAAATAGGCATAAAAACGATTTTCAACTGGACGAGTTCTGATTTGTTGAGTGTTAATGTTTAAAAAACAAATCCACAAAACATTTTGTGCAAATTTTCCCAATTGTAGCTGTACTTCTATACAGAAAACGGATACAATAAAATACCTAGGGTTATTAGTGGACCAATCTCTTCGGTGGAATGCACACATTCATTATACAGTAACTAGACTATGTAAATTAATTATAAAATTTATCAGCTCAGGAATATATTATATAGGGAAATGATGCTGATTTATAGCCAGCGACTATTAGATAGCGTTAGTGGAGCGTTTGGAGCACGAAATCGCGGAAAAACTGCCCCATTTGAAGAAAAAGGAGGTGCTTTTAATCAAAACTATTCACCGTGTCACAAACAATTAAAAACAATGTCAAAATTGCATAAATTGGGATTCTAATTGCTTCCGTATCTACCATATTCTTCATATCTGGCCCCAGCGACTTTTTCCTCTTCTCAAACAGAGAAGGCTTTGAGGCTAAGAACAAGTCGTACTACAAAAATGGCATTTGAAATGCATTCGAAACCATCCTTTATGAAAGTATCATAAAATAAAAAGAAAGAATACATAGATAGAAGTTTTTATTAATCTCTCAGAATACTCTGCTTCTCACAATATTCTCGAAACATCAAGAAAAACTATATGGAGACTCATCTCGTGTTTTTAAGTAGTAAATTCCATCCCTGAAAAATAAATCATGTCAGATCTAAGGAACACATATCTCAAGCAATATGCCTATCAAAATGGCAAGCTTCTGTTACATTTTTATTTGATTGACAAAACGATAGTAGCGAATTATTTGTTTCAGAAAGTCAGACGATGAATTAAAATATGTCTGATCGGGCTTGAATATTCAGCCGAGTCTCAAACCATCTTAAAACGACTCAAAACACCATCCGCTATGATTGGTGTTCTATATTGTCATATGATCAGTATCGCCATCGTAAAGTACGTACGTGGATGTTAAAATCTATGGTCATATTTCATTCAAACAAACCATTCAGTCAGTTATTCGAAAGCAAAAACATGTAAAAAGTGTCATAAAATCAAAAATCATTATAAATTTTGCCAACCCAACCAAATGAATCAATTACCGGCGCAATTTTTATGTCACACTATTCAGCTATTGTGGTCCTAGTTATCGATCTCTATCACACGATTCTTCGCTTGAAATGAAAATTTGACTTAACACTTCAAAGTTAGAAAGTAAACACGATCTGTGGCGACTTACTTCCACTCGAACTTCTTACGACTTTTCATGGCTTTTTGATGATGTGAGAGAAGAAGTTCACTACTTTTGAAGTTACTGAAATCTTTTCTCACAACACCTGTTGACATTGAAAAATTTTAACCTTACCGCTTTTGAGTTTTACTTCTAACGAAAACGTCTTGCATTAAACGACTAGCCTATCTCAAAAGTCGACAAAAAACTGTTCCCAGTTCATGTTTTAACGATTTAAAAATAGTACCTGTACGTTTCAGATTGTCCCATATATACATCAGACTCTTCGTAGCACTTTCCTTGCACCGCATTTTCAAATGAATCACATCTTCTACTTTTGAATGCGTTCTTGTTTCTTATTGATTCTGCGAACAGAAGATACGCACGTCCGTGATTACAAAATAAACTCTCCGAGACTTTCCCTGTGAAACAAAAATTTGACTGTACCAGTATCAATTAACAACTTTACGGAGGATGGTTTGACATAATCTGATCTGCGCTATCTAAGATACGGTTTCAATAAGGTAACATTTTTGTCTAATAACCTGCACGTCGTCTTGATTTCAATCAGGTTGGAGCCTGGCTCCCTTACCCTTTGAACTGATGTTTGCCAGAAGGACAAACGGGTCATGACTGATGGAGGATGTTGATGGTATGGCGGCATCAGACATCAGTACCGCCCTTCACGGTGTACCCCTACCTGGCTGGGGTGGGTTGGATGAAAAAGTTGTTCATCTTTCAACGGAAGATATAGGGGCCTCATTCGACAGAGTGTCGGGGCCTTCTATATCGGGAGGGGTCGTTTACAGTGTAATCCATAGCTTCCCTGACTAATGGGTTTTCATGAGTTTCTGCACCATCGAAAACTCTCTGATTTCTCGACTGAATGGACTGCCGAACGGAAGGCAGCCGCAAATCTCTGCGGCTTCATTCCGTACGAACCAAGGAGCATTCACAATCATCCTTATTAGCTTGTTTTGCCATACCTCCAGAATGGAGATATTAGATTTCACTGCTTGTCCCCAGACGCCTGGAGCATCATGATGACAGACTTGAACATCGTATTATAGATGGTAATTTTGTTTTTTAGACTCATTTTAGATTTTCTATTGATCAGAGGGTACAGACGTGCTATCCGACCCTCGATCTTTGATTTGACGCTCGTTACGTGCGGGTTTCAAGTGAGCCTACGGTCTATTAAAAGGCCGAGGTACTTTACCCGCGCTTGCCATTCAATTTCCCTTCCAGAGATTCTTACTTTTCTGCCCGGAGAAGATTTCAATCTTTCCATGGTTATTGCCCGAGTCTTATCCGGGTTCACTCGGATCTTCCAATCAAGGTACCAGCGTTCGACGCCGAGCTCTCGACCTATGGAAGATGAGAGGAGAGCCGTGTCATCGGCGTACAGATATATCTTCACACGCTCGGACCTCGGAAGGTCGCTGGTGTAAAGTGAGTACAACGTCGGAGAGAGCACGGCCCCCTGTGGCACTCCAGCAAGAATCTCTCTGTTATCAGACAGAGATCCCTCTACTCTAACCTGAAATGTCCTGTCTTTCAGGAAAGACCCGATCCACCGGACGAGGCCCCGAGGCAAGTCGAACACATTTAATTTGTGGTCGACTTGCCTCGGGACAATGAGACAATGTGCACTTTTTTGTTGATGTTTAACTCGCGGATGGTGTTTTCAACCAGTCTTAGAGCCTGTAACTCAGTGGAATGATCTCTCCTGAAGCCAAATTGTTCATCAGGCAGAACATTTCGGTCCTCAACTTCTTCGTTGAGCCTTTGAAGAACAACTCTTTCAGCCTGCTTAGCCGCCGAAGAGAGTAGACTGATCGGCCGTAGTTCTGCGGGAACAGCGGGTTCTGACCCTGTTTTGGGATCATGACAACGGCCGCATGCTTCCACCTTCTGGGGAAATGTCTGAGGGCCAACTATTCATTATGTTTAGTAAGCATTCAACGCAGTTGTCCGGGAGCCTCTTCAACAACTTGTTAGTTAACGAGTCGACCCCCGGTGCTTTGGCGAGTGACTCGCCAAAGCTCGTCACTCCCAGGTTCAAAGGATTCCAAAAGCTCTTCCCACCTTTCGTTTCGATGATCAGTGATGGCCTGCTTGACTTGGTTGGCCATCCTATTTGCCGTTCATCCCCTGGGAAAAGGGATCGCTGATAGAGCCTTCTCAGGCGATTTCTCTCTCGTATCAAGGCTTTGATACGAGGGGGTAACTCATTAAAGCTCCTCAGCGGACACTCCTCCCTGGAGGTGGCCGCACGAAACGCATCATTCACGGAAAGCTCGAAACGCTCGACTGCCACGTCGAGTTCGTCAGGAGAGTCGAGTACCTCAGGGGCGCGCATCTCTCCGAGTTGGGCTGTGAAGACATCCCAGTACGTCTTAAATTTCATGCAATAATCAGGGGAATGAAGATCATCACCCAATACCAGGACTACTGGGTTATGATCAGAATCCAGTTCCGACAAAACGTAAATTTCGCTAGTCAGAGAGACATTTCTGAGAAGCGCAATGTCTAGTACGTCAGGCCTAGTCTGCCCGCGATAGTACGTAGGTTCATCTGGTCCCAGCACTAGATATTCATGTATGTCAACGTGGGCATGGAGCGCCTGGCTGTTTTGATTGGTGGATCTGCTCCATGGTCTGTGCTTGGCGTTAAAGTCACCAGCAGCAATTGTCGAAGTGTTGCTTCCCATCAGCAGTTCATCCAGTGATTCAGGGAGTAATCGATTGTTCGGGGGGTTGTAGACCGAGATTACTCTGTGACAACCCCTACTCAGCCAAATTTCGACACCCACAGCCTCAGTTCCGTGTAAACGGGCACTGTCAATGCTTTATTGAACACATTGAAGGGATCGTTTGACAAAAATGCCAACTCCCCCTCCAGCACGTTCAACACGTTCTCTGTGAAGGAATCTGTAGTTTGGAATGACAATAGATTCGTTCCTCAGATGTGTCTCCTGCACTAGAGCCACATCGATGTTATATTCAGTTAAGAAGTTCTCAAAGTCAAGCTTTTTAAAACGAATGCCATTAGCATTCCAAAAAACTATCTTCAGAGATCTAGGCAACGTTGGTTGTCTAGACATTGGCGGTTCCAGTTAACACGTCAGTATTCACCGTGAACATTTTCTGTAACACGGGGAATTGCACGAACAACTTTTTCATCTGATCCAATGCGGAACAGATGTCTGAAACCCTCTTTTGCCCAATATGCTTTCTCTCTCTCTTATATTAGTGGCCGTTGCTTCCCACTCGGGCGCATTTGGCCAGGCTCCTCCTATCAAGGTTGACATGGGCTTCGTCGGGGGGCACAGCGGTCTTGCTCGAAGCAATGCTGCTACCCATTTTTGTAGAACTTTTCTATCATAAAAACAATTTAATTTTTTATTAGGTCGCCTCCTGTTCGGGAGACCTTTTGGTTCTTTCCACATATACAGCACCCTTCACGTGGTTATCCGAACCACTCCGGCCTGAATACCGGCGTGAATAAAGGAGGCCCCTCTTAACTTTTCGAAAGACTCTCACACATTTCAATAAACACCCCAATGGACTAACACAACACAAAACGGAACCTCACGATAGCACATGGCATCCGCGTATCTTCTTCGTGGGCGGACGTTATCAGTACGTCCCTCCACTACCACGGCCACCACGAAACTCGCCCACTATGCTCGACAGGAATCTTTTCCAACATGTTATGCCTTGCAGAAATCGATTTAGCTCCAGTGCCACAAAAAAGAGTGAATTTTGAGTCATGATCTCATTTATTTTTACAAAGATGTCGCAGGGTAATAGATCCCCGTGGGTTGGGCTACCTATCGGGCGCGTCCTCAGGTGGCGGATAGGGGAACGGCCAAAGGACTGGAGGCCCTGTCCGGAAAGCCAATGTGGCCTTACGGACGGGGTCGCCGGACTCCTGGTCAGTGGCAGAAATAACTAGGGTGAGGGGAACTAAAACCTCCCAAAAGCCTTTGTAAAACATGCCATCGTGGACCAGCCTACCCAAGCTAAGGTGTAAGGAATCGTGCCGACAGCTGAATGGCTGCAGGGTGATATGCGGTCACGAACGATCCCCTTGGAGAACTGAGTGAAACCTCATTGTAATCAGCTCACCTCTGGTAATGCGGGGCTCCTCCAGAGGTGACCAATTATTTCCTTGCTGCTCGTGGGAGCACAAATGAAGGAAACAACACAGAAACCAATCCCGAGGCTGGACATTAGTGCTCACCTCAATCTAAGGCGGTGGCTGGGGATGAACAGAAATGTCCACCCCAATCTACCGCTTGGAATGGAGCTGGAAATAGCAGGTTACCTCCAACAGCAAAGGCACTTCCTGCGGCGGGCGCCAATAGCTCCTCCTCGAATAATGGCAAGGAACCTCCACAGAGGGAACCCCAAGAAGGTTGAAGAAGCCGCGCAACGACAGTAATATCGCTGCACCTTCCAAAACCCTTGCGAAGGCCACCATGAGACACCTCAAGGTTGCCAAAGAGAGTGTGTGTTCGGCGAGTCTTGGCCTACACCTGCCAATATTGGGGAGATGTCTCATAGTGACCTGTTCACCTTCCTGGAAAGGACAAGACAATTCCTCGGGAGGATTTACAATGGGTCAAATGTAGCCTAAGTGCTACAGAGATACAGGGTAATAGATCTGGCGAAATAGTGTGCAATTCGTAACTCGATTGAAGAGAACTTCTTCCTCAACTGTTCTACCCTTTTCCAATCGCGTATCGCATCAAAAAACTATCATATAACCTTCTCGGGATGAGTCGGTTTTGGTCTTCTTGGGAAGCTGACTCGAAGTACCATCACCATATGCCATTGTCCAAATTTCAAGTGTTTTTGAGTACCTGATTCCGTTTTTTTACACAAAATTGGATGCAAATTCGTATGGAGATTACAGTTGGTTGATAGAAAAGCCCACTTTAATCCATAAATAAATATTTATAAAAATTTTTCCTAAACGATTATTCCTCCGTAAAATATTTTTCCACAACCCCAATCTAATATATAAAAATGGATGTTTGTTGGTTGGTTGGTTGGTTGGTAAGTGATAAACTCCTACATCGTTCAACCGATCGTGATGAAACTTGACATGTATGAGTAATTTTTCATAGAGAAGGTTTTTAGGCTATCAATTTTTCCGTAACTCGCCACTAGATGGCGCTGTAGAACAATTTTTTAAAGCACTGTTCTATAACGCTGCGCACGACTAAGTTCGTTGATTCTGATTCTATCAAAACATTGGAATAGCAACGATACAGCGACATAGTACTAATTAGTACTACAACTACCAAATTCTACGCGGGCGAAACTGCGGGCAACAACTAGTAATATATTAAACAAATTTTACAAATATCGTTGATATCAGGACATCCGGGCTGAATGATTCCTCCATTGGGGTAAAAATCTACATGACCAACTGGTTCCGCAAGACTCAAAATTCTGGCATAAGTGTGGATAACATCCACGACACTGGCATCTCCTCTGTCCAGTTTGTGTTCATTTTGTGTATCTCTATAACCTGGTCTAGCTGGATCTAAGGCTGGAAAACAAAATGAAAACTCATTATCCATGTAATATGTACAGAGATGAGAAAGTATTTACTTTACTAAAATTATCACACTACATAGGTACAATGTATAAACATTACTATTATTTGTTTGAAGGTGGTTTACAATTGTTTCATGGTGAATTTCATTAGCTGTGACTTCCACTGTCTAATATGTCTTGAAATGACCTATATAAAGTCATCTCTCGAGGGAATAATCCAGTCATCACCCGAAGACGATTGTGGATACCAACAATCGAAATGTCGTGAAATAACTTGGCTTGAAATCCTTCAATTTTCATTTCATTGTATTTTATTTTAGGGTTCAGTAATATAGCTATAGGAGTTCCAGCCCACAATCCCATATATTTTCTTATGACGCTTCATTCTGTTTGGTCCAATTCACACAGAATGGACGTCTGACAGAGACGAGGCGCGAACCTTTGTTCCTTCAGTGTGAACTTGGCCTGGGCCAAAAAGGTCCAGAATGAAGCACCATAAGAAAATTCACGGGGTTTTATCTTATATTATATCATATTAGATAATGAAAGTCCAAACTAATGAAATTCATTACTATTATTCATAGGACCGGAGATAATTGTATCAAAGATATTTGGCGGGTTTGATGGCCGATGGCTCTCTGTAGATGAGAGTTCCATGTTAGCTTCCTGTCGAGGGTAGTACTGAGGTATTTCACCTCTTTACAGAAGTTCAGTTTGCTTTTGAAGATTTCGGGAGATTTTAAGCCCGATATACTTCTTTTCCTGGTGAAAAGGACATTCTCAGTCTTCTTGGGATTGATCGACAGTGAGTGTTCCTTACACCATGTTTCTATTAATTGGAGCCCATCCTGCGCTCTATCGCAGAGTGTGTTCATAAATTTGCCGATCTGCAAGATAACTATGTCATCCGCATATGCAATTGTATATAATTCATGATTGTTGAGGTGATTATTCAGGGTATCCAGAACTATGTTCCAAAGAAGGGATGATGAGACCCCTCGCTGTAGACATCCCTTCATGACCAGTCCTCTCACTATTGTGTCTTCTATATTGATACTTATTGCTCTACTAGAGAGCATCTTGAGTATCCATTCTCCTACTACCAGATGTACATTCCTGGAGTTTAGCTGCTGGATAATTATTGGAAAAGTTGTTTTATCAAACGCTCCCTCGATATCTATGAAGATACCCAGGAGTGAATATAGACAGGGTATCCAGAACTATGTTCCAAAGAAGGAATGATAGACCCCTCGCTGTAGACATCCCCTCATGATCAGTCATCTCACTATTGTGTCTTCTATATTGATACTTATTGCTCTACTAGAGAGCATCTTGAGTATCCATTCTCCTACTACCAGAGGTACATTCCTGGAGTCTAGTTTCTGGGTAATTGTTGGAAAGGTTGTTTTATCAAACGCACTTCATTTACTATCTTGAAAAAGGTAAAACTATCAACGGCGAGTATTATGCGAATTCTTTGCAAAGTTTGAGTGGATAAATCAAGCAAAAACGGCCGCAGTTGGCTAAAAAAAAAGAGTTAAAGTTTGAATTGCTACCTCTTGCAACCTATTTACCATATTTATCCCCCTTGGATTATTTAGTTCCCAAACTTGAAAAAATAGCTAATTTGGGAGCAAGACAGTTCTTATTATAAAAACTATATTGAACTCATTGAACGTCTCGTCGCTGGGAAAAATGAATAGAGCTCCAAGGAGATTCTGTCCCAAAAATTTTGTGTTTTGTTTGTTAAACTGGATACTGGGACCACCTTCTATTTTACATTTGAATGGTATCCAATATTTCTGAAATTATCGTATTGTGATAAGAAAGATATAATAATAAAAATCAACAGAAAGAGGGCTACAAGTATAACTATGAAATATCCAACTCACCAGTAATCTTTGCTACCCGTCCATTATCGACATTGCCGCCCCCTATGCCAGCAACATGCGCTCCCATGCTGTGTCCGATCAAATGAATACTTTTCAACGGGACCTCCATCTGGACCAGCCAGTTGAGAAACTTTCCGAGATAATGTCCTGCTATTCTGGCTCCCCGCACTGCTGATAAATATTCGAACTGGCAGAGTACTGACCAGTCCATAGCGAATATGTTGTAGTCGCCGGTTTCCAGATACGCTGCGGATCAAAATTATCACTTTTAAAATTTTTATGTTTACATTTCTAGAACAACGAGGAAAGTGTGAAACTGCTGAACACAATTTTTTGCAACTGTAAAAAGGGATGCAGCGCTAAATGTGGTTGTAAAAAAGTTGGACTGTAGTGTTCTCTGGCATGTACACATTGTCAAGGCCAATGAATGCTGTATCACCAATAGTGGAGGATTCATTTGATATCAACGAGGAAACATGCGATACATCACTCTTGACGCAGTTTACCTACACCCAGGACATCAAGAAGAAGAAGAAGAAGATCAAGAAGAAGAAGACGGACGACAAGAAGAAGTATTTGAAGGTTGTGACTTATGAATTATACAGGGTCCTGCAACAGTGGCGCGGTGTTCCATATCTCTATATAGGAAGCAGATAGGAATTTAATTTTCTATAATATTACCTTATTGCTCGAGCTCGACAAAATAAAAATATTGGCGGTCACACAGGGTGTTCGATTTTTTCTGGGCGGATCCCAACTGTGTCTTTTTAAATGGCAACCTTTATTTTTTATCGCTTTTTCGGTTTCTTCATAGAAAATAAAATAAACTTTATGTATATCTGCACTTCGAAAATATTGA